ATTAGGAATGATAAATCATAATGGATCCTCCTCTAGATCATTGGACTGAATATAAAGATCAAACCGGGCCCAGTTTAGTAATTTGGCCATAACTTCCTCATTATTATTCATCGGAATTGGGCTTATAATATATCGTTGGAAAGCTCTTTTCGAGCCCTATCCAAATACACCATTATTGGACCCTTGACATGGACCAAACTAAACTGGATTGGCTATTTTTATAAAATAGGTTTTCAAAAACAAAGAGAAAGAAAAGAATTAAAAACTAACCGCAACACTAGACTTTCCACACTTTCACTTCATTCGATTATGATTCAACGTGAAAGGTACTCATCACTGGGTTTAGTTTTGGGGAGACACAAATGGATGTCTACAGAAGCCCCACTTTGACTGAGTTTGGAGAAACGCAAGTTTCGAAAACAAAAGTCAAAGTATCGATAAGGACGGAGAATGATTCAGAACGTTCTGCGATCCTAAATCATTCTTGTAACGCCGATACCTGCAAACTAGTATTAGTTTAAAATAGATAAGAGAGTTAAGAAATGCGTATCTTGCACCGTCGAGCACACGTCTCTAGGAGGTAACTGACAGGGTAAAGTCGTATCCCCTAATCAAAAGTAATTACCTAAGTCCTCTAACTAAAGTAGATAGGGAAGTAGGGTCGAACTCCACAGGGAAACAAGTCTTTCTATTCCTAATTAACTAATATAATCTAGATTATTAGGTAACCAATATGTGAATTTGAATGTAAAACTAAACTACGAAGATTAAGAATAAGGAGAGAATAATATATAAAAGGATCTAGGGCATAGGTTCACCAATAAATAATATTTCAGGGTGGAATATAATAATCATTCATCAATGCATATATTAATCAGATCATAAAGGGCTTTCGCTACGTAATATAATCACACAATTAATTTACCGGTATTAAATCTCATCTTTCGAATCTTGAACTAACCATTTATAAATTAACCTGCCTATTGAAACTAGACCTAAACATCAATTCTCATCTGTCGAATCTCGAATCAATATTGTCAAACTCATGCATAAAAGATCAGGCCTAATCTAGTCACAGAGCATTACCCCTTCATATTATTTATGGATCCCCATAAACCCTAGAAAGAAAACTACTCACACATAATAGAGACTAAACTAATCAAAGCAATAAAGCAAGACATGATTAAAGGAATAAAATAAACAACTAAGATTAAGAGAAGAGAAATCGTTACCAAAATAAATATGGAATTAAGAGTAGATTAAGAACAAAGGGTTTTGAGAAAGAAAATCTAAGAAAAACAATTAAGAGAGTAAAGTAAGAGTAAAAAGAGAGAGAAAGAGAGAGATTAAAATCGTATTACGGAGGAGTATTTATACTCCGTACAAATCCTAAACTAAAACAAACTTAAACGACAAAATTAAATCCTAATATTTACACGCGCCTGATCGGGCGAGGCACCGCCCGATCGGGCGCGCCTTTTTGCTCTTCAGGTTGAATCTCGCTCCCGGCCGGGCGCGTCACCGGGCGCCGACCTTCGCTTCTCCCGCCCGGCCGGGCGCACCTCCGGGCGGCTTTCTTGGGCCACTAATTGGACTACGATTGGGCTCCAATTCTTCGGGCCAATCTGGATTTCCTCTTTGGGTCTCGAAGACTCAGTCCAAATGCCCTGGCATCACCATACCGAGCCCTTAATACCGGTTCAATGGCTCTAACCGGCCCTAGGCTATAAAATCTGGTCGTGCTTCTCCAGTGCTCGTGATTGCTCCAAAATATCTCGGGAAAATACTCCAAAAGTGTAAATCCCTGCAAAAGTCAACCAAATCTACGAAAACACTAGAAAACACCAATTAGTAATAAAAGTGGCTCTAAAGAGCCAAAAACACTACTAATTATGACCAAGGGACGAGGGTAAAATACTATATAAAATAGACACATCAGTAACCGATTTGTTGCTGTTGTGACAACCTTCCACAAGCCAGGGAACGCCATCCTGCTATTGTTTTGACGATCTTCCTCAAGCTAGAGAATACCGCCTGAAGACTGCTACGCCTGTAACTGCCTCCAATTCCGCCGTGATAGACTTCTGCAAGCTAGAGAACTCCATTGAAGATTGCTTCGCCTGAAACGACCTTTTAGCGGTTTGTGACCATCCTCCGCAAGGCAGGGAACATGATCGAAGATTGCTTTGCCTGCAGCTATCCTCATTTGTTTGTGACAACCCTCCGCAAGCTAGGGAGCGTTGCCGAAGACATCTTCTCTTGAAGTCTTTCTCATTAGTTGCGATAATATTCCAAAGAAAATTACCAGAGACCAACGCCTGTCGATCCTTTAAAGTTCGCTTGAACTTTACTTTTGCTATGCCAGTGCGTCGGCGCTTTTGCTACTTGTGAACTAGTATGTCGGTGCTTTTGTTGCTTATGAGCCAGTATGCCGGCGCTTTTGCGGTGATGACAATCCTCTTTTCTTTGGGAATAGTTGCCAACACAACTCTTGTATGATGTATGACAATCCGATTTAGGGAAAGTTGTCAATGCTTCGTAACAATCCATCCTTGGAAATGTTGCTACGATGAAGGGACAATCTGTATCTCGGAAATTTTCCAAAATCTAATTTTGGGAAAAGTTGCCAATGCTTCGTAACAATCTTTCATAAGAACTTTGCTACGATCGACAATCCACATCTTGGAATATAACTCTTGAAAGCAATCCACCTTGGAAATTTGCCAATGCTATGCGACAATCCTTTTAGGAAAATTTTGCCACAATTGACAATCCGCGTCTTGGAATATTTGCAAAAAGAGTCGATCGACAATCCACTTCGGGAAAATTTGCCACTTGCTGAAATGAATGACAATCCACGTTGAGGAATCTTTACAGAAATTTATGACGAGTAGAGACTTACGACAATCCTTTGGGAAATTTTGCCATGGGGAACTATGTGTATGACAATCCAATCTCGGAAAACTTGCCAGAGATGACAATCCAAACTTGGAAAAAAAATTGCCAAACAGAGAAGGAGCACGACAATCCATGCTTGGAAACTTTGCTAGAGATGACAATCCAATCTTGGAAAAATTGTCGTTCAAGAAGAATGCGCGACAATCCACATTTGGAAATATTGTCAGTTGAGGATGACAATCCATTCTTTAAAAATTTGTCGTATAAGTACTTGTTTTTGAACCGATGCTTTAGTGCTTGTAATGAGCCAATGCTTAGGCGCTTAAGCTAAGTGAGACGATCGTTGTCAGGTCAATCACTTATTGCGATTGTAATCGAGCCGACTACTAATCATGTTAATTTGCTTATAGGGCTAACCAAGGAACCCAAAACTGCTGCAAGAGGTCCGCATAATCCAATATGGGACCACGCATCTCGTCGCTGCATCGACGCTCGCCAGAACATATTGTCGCCGTGATCTCGCTCTGTCGCCAAGCGACAGCCTTGTCGTCTGACGCTTAATAATGAGGAAGTTATGACCAAATTACTAAACTGGGCCCGGTTTGATCTTTATATTTAGCCCAATGATCTAGAGGAGGATCTATTATGATTTATCATTCCTAATGCAATTAGGATTGATTATAGTCTTCTATAATCTTTTAGAAGGTTCTTTTGAATCCTAATTTGATTAGCATTGATAAATGAGTTTTAAGAGTTCTATTTGGAATAAAAGAAGTGTTTTTATGGAAATTACAGTTTTACCCCCTCGTACGCTTAAAATTTATCAAAATAAGAAAACACGTGGAAAAACTGGTTGTTGCGCCACAACTGTGGTCTGTCGCCTGGCGACAGGCCTGGCGTCTGGCGACAACCCTGTCGTCTGGCGACAGGCGCGTGTTTGGCGACAGCGTCGTGTTTTATTCTTTTCGAAACTCTGATTTTTTTTTTATCAAATCCGGACTGATTTTCATTATAAATAGCCTCCTTAAATCTCCGTTTTCAATCATCAATTCTCATGACCAACTCTCATCAAGAAATTCTTGATATTCTCTCTCTCTTTTTCTAAACTAGCTTTTTCTCAAATACTAAATTCCGCATTCCCAAGATCTAGATACACCTATCCAAGTTTGAGAAAAAGCTAGTTTAGAAAAAGAGAGAGAGAGAATATCAAGAATTTCTTGATAAGAGTTGGTGATGAGAACTAATGATTGAAAACGGAAATTTAAGGAGGCTATTTATAATGAAAATCAGTCCGGATTTGATAACAAAAGAATCAGAGTTTCGAAAAGAATAAAACACGATGCTGTCGCCAAACACGCACCTGTCGCCAGACGCCAGGCGACAGACTACAGCTACGGCGCTGCAACCAGTTTTTCCACGCGTTTTCTTATTTTGATAAAATTTAAGCGTATGAGGGGGTAAAACTGTAATTTCCTTAAAAACACTTCTTTTATTCTAAATAGAACTCTTAAAACTCATTTATCAATGCTAATCAAATTAGGATTCAAAAGAACCTTCTATAAGATTCTAGAAGACTATAAACAATCCTTATTGCATTAGGAATGATAAATCATAATAGGCCCCCCTCTAGATCATTGAGCCGCATATAAAGATCAAACCGGGCCCACTTTAGTATTTTGGCCATAACTTCCTCATTTTCATCAGAATTGGGCTTATAATATATCATTGGAAAGCACTTTTCGAGCCCAATCCAACTACACCATTATTGGACCCTTTCCATGGACCAAACTAAATTGGATTGGCTATTTTTATAAAATAGGTTTTCAAAAACAGAGAAAAAGAACAGAATTAAAAACAAACCGCAACACTAGAATTTCCACACTTTTACTTCATTCGATTATAATTCGACGTGAAATGTACTCATCACTGGGTTTGGTTTTGGGGAGACACAAATGGGTGTCTACACATATCCACACCTATTTTACTGCAACCGGCCTAAATACGAGAAACGATATTCCAAACTAAGCACCACAAACCATACAACAGATCAATGTCCGTCGCCATATCTATCCCAGTATCCATATCCATTTTACTGCAACCAACCAGCTTGAATACAGGATATGATGTCCCAAACCAAGTACCATGAAGTCATGGACCATATTACTACTCCTCCTCATATGCTATTTTCATTTTGTAAGAGAAAAAAAGACTAAAAAAAAAGCCTTTTAGCATTCGACGTGTCCCTTCCTTTCATTGAGGCGCCCTCTTCTGAAACCACCTCTCTCTTTCTCCTTTTTCTCTCTCTATCATTCTCTCTCCTCCTCCTCCTTCGTTCTTCTTCTTCATTTTCTCCGAGGGCTCCGATTTCGAGGCCTCGAATCCCACCATTTTCCGATCTCTTTCTCTGTAATCTGCTGCTTTCGATTCTCGCTTCATTCAAGATCTGTTGATTTCTTGTTTTTCGCGAATTCATTTTTCGTCGAGTACCGCGGAACTGAATCTTGATTTGGAATTTGTTTTGATTTTGGGGGTTTTAATGCTCGTGAATCAATCGTTGATTTATTGGGTTGATATTCGAAATTGTCAAGCGATTTGTGGTTCCTCGCTATTGTTGTTGTAGCTGTTGTTCATCGTCTAGGGTTTGGTGATTTCATCGTTTTGCATGTTGTTACGTAGTTTTATTCAGAGATTGATCCCTGATTCTTGATAATTTTGTTAATGGATATGAATTTTAATGGAGATTTGGTAGCTCTTGATGCTGAGCTCTTGCAATTGCCTGAGGTTTCGCCGTTGGCGCTTAAAGCGAATCCTTATATTGCCCAAGACTTGTTTGAGCAATGGCTTTCGCTTCCCGAAACCAATCGTTTGGTAAGCATTTCTCAAATTCTGTTTCTATAATTTGCTGCTGTTTTTAGGTTTTTCTTGGTGTTGTGTGATAGTATGAATCTTGCTTGTTAGTTGCCTGCATTTACTTGTGTTATGTTAGATTACGGAAATTAGATTCTAGGTAGGTTTGTTTCTTTTATTAAGATTACCAGCACGGAAATTCGCTATTGAAATGTTCTATTGGAGGGTATCGTGTACACTGGAATTATGTTGGAAGTATCATCTGGGGTTGGGAATTTTTGTTTCGAAATGTTGTGGAAAATAAGTTTATCATCTGAAATGTATGCCTCACACAAATGGGAAGCATCGTGTACGCATATTTTCTCTTTGTTTATTGATGTATTGGGAAATTCACCTGCCGAAGGATCTTAACAGCTGGTCATTTTCATTTTGAGGGCAAACCACTTGTTTGTTGAGCAGTTCTTGATGTGTAAAGAGACGAGAAATGAAATGGCTTTCCTTCCTATGGTTAAGTAAATTTATGTTTACAGACGTTCATTTGCTATTGGAACCGTCATCTCTATATTGGAGCTATGGTTGATCAGTGCACACCAGGGTCGGTAATTGATATGATTTGGGATAGTCATGATTCATTTTATTGATCTTCCTTTGTAATTTCTAGGACTAAGATATTTTCATCTAAAGATGATGGAAGCTGTACTTGCAAAAGCCAGCTTAACACTAGTGGTTGCTACATGCTTACTAAACTCTTGGGATTGGCAATTCGTGTACCTTGAGTGGTTGAAGGTCAGTTTTGGTTTAGATTTGATCAAGAACAACATACTTTGTAATTTGCATTTCAGAGAAATTAGCTGTTTGTTTTTAAGATATTGTTTTATGAGTTTATGAAAGTTGGTATCTGTGAGATGGTGTTTACTACATACTTCATTGGTGCTGAAGTAAATACACTTAATATATCTGGGGTGTGCAAATGTACGATGAGTGACTATCTCGATACCTTGGTATATGTGAAGAGCCTATTATGGAATGAGGGAGTTTTGGTGCTTGACACTCTCATCAACATCAGCTATTTCGTTGTAATTGATCTATAAGGAGCATGGGCAACATGTGGTGGACATATTTCTGATTGACTCTTTGGTAATGGCATTGCGCCATCGCTTTTAATTGGTGCAAGGTCTTGTAAGCTTTGGAGTCTAAAGATTGACTAGACCTAGTTGCATAAGTCATTTTTTGCCCTTTTCCAGGTTCTTTCATTCTTTGATGAGCTGTGGAAGGGTCAATGAATCGCTCAATTATATTAGGTTAGCTTCTGAGATTTCAGTTTTAACTTGGAATTTGGAAAAATGGAATGCCTTTGCTTGTTATGAGAATTTCAAGCAAACTTTTCTTACCTAGTTTGAAGTCTTGTAACCAATTTAGTATTATTTTAAGCAACAACATTATGCTGCTTTATAATGAAATTGTTCATCATCCAAATAAGCGTCTTAATAATCTATTAGATGTTGGCATTCATGATGAGGTCATTATTGTTGGATAAACTTGCTTCAGATTTTTTTGAAGAAGAGTGACCATGAGAACAGGAAAGTTTTGTTTGATTGAGAGATTTTGGAGAATATTTGTTAATTATGATATGGACTAGGGGTATGTATTATTGTTGGAAAAATTTACTTGTGGTTGTCGTGAAGAAGAGTGACCCACAAAACAGGAAAGTTTTGCTTGATTGAGAGTTTTTGGAGAATATATTCTGTTGATTAAGATATAAACTAGGGGTGTGATGTAACCCATCCATCCACCAAACAGTTTGTAATTTTTTTTTGGTTTGTGGGGGATTTCCAGCTATGTCATTTGCTGACAGTACATTTCTGTTTGGTCTGTATGTGGGAGCTATGTTTTGGTGTCAGATTAATGTAGCTTCTCTATCCATCTACCTATTTTAGTTAGGTCAGTAGGTTGTTCTGGGAGTTTATGTATGGTGAATGTTAAACAATTTGAATGTTGTAGTAGTATGCTTTGATGTCTTTGCATGAAGTTGCTACCTTTTTCTTCAATTTTACCAACCTTGGCCCTTCATGTTTAATAGCTAAATTGTTCTATGTGATTTTCATTTGATTTCTTTTGCTGCTCTTTTTCCTGAGCTGTGGCATGTTGCATTTTTTTTGGTGGTGTGTGTGTTATAAAGTGCTTTGCTTTTTGCATATAAACGCTGGTCTGGCTGCAGGTAAAATCACTAGTTAATGACGCAAAAGCTGGGAATCCTTTAAATGTCGCCGGAAATGCTTCTAGTACAAATGCTGCTGCTAGCAATTCAATACCATCCATGTTTCCTGCTGGGAGTGCGCCTCCACTCTCACCGAGAAGCTCATCAGGTTCACCTCGTATTATGAAACAGAGGGCCGGTCCTTCTTCCTTAGGAAGCCCACTTAAAGTATTGAGCGAGCCAGTGAAAGAGCTGATACCACCGGTTTGTTGTCTTTGTCTCCATCTTTTATTTTGGTTATTCTAACTTAGCCTTTGTTGTTCGAAAGAGCTTTCCATTAAATGTGAGGGTCTTTATTGTGACTTCTATGCATACATTGCAGTTTTACTTTCAGAACGGGCGTCCAGCACCAAAGGAACTGAAGGAGCGGTGCCTGTTTAGAATAAATCAGTTTTTTTACGGTCATACAGAAGGCCTTCCAATGAATGGTGAGAAACTTAAAACTAAATGTGGTTGAAAATTTTGTAACAGATCCGACATGCTTATTTTTAATCTTCTGTAGCAGAGTTCAAAGCTGTTACGAAAGAAATATGCAAGCTCCCGTCCTTCTTCTCTACTGTCCTCTTTCAAAAGATTGATAGCAGTAGCACTGGATTTGTCACCAGGTATACAACTAAATCCTAATTTAGGTTATTGCAGATCCTTTTGTTCCTTTTGGTGGGTATGGTTTTTGTCAGATATGATGTGATCAGTTGTCATTTAGCTATGTGACTCCTTTTCACTCTCCTTTCCAATTTCCATATTGTTTGCACAACAATGAACTTGTTACCCCTTATTGATCAGCAGTTCTTGCATCTATTTGAGACAACCGAGTTTGAGGCTTTAGTATTTGTTTAGATTCTGGTCTTCTGGATATCTGTAGCAGCGCCTTATCATTTTGGAAAGAGAATTTGACTTTCAGTTTCAATTGCACGTGTCAAGAATTTGTTTTTAATTTTTTATTGCTGATGCTATTGGTATTTGTTAGATCGGCTATGGCCTTGATTTATGGTGGTTATATGGAATTAATAACTGCTTGTTAACTGAAAGTTTTGGTAATGAATTATTATTATGAGCTTTTCATACATTTGCTTCATGCATCTAGAAGGCTTTAAACTTTGGGACTGGATGGAATAATTCTCTTTTTTTTTTTGCTGTTAGAGTGTCCCATGACAAAGAATTATTAGGTTTTTCTTTAAAGATTATTTTTGCCTTTTGTCTCTATATGATTTATGTTTAACATGCATATTTCTTCATTTTTTTTTTTTTTTTACCATGCTTATGTCACTTATCTAGTTTTTGGTTGATGCCTAGTCATTTTTTGTTTCGAGTATGTTTTTTAAAGGCCGAGACCTTAAATGGCAGTATTTGGCATTATGAGCCTCCAAACTTTTTATTTTAGTAATGTTTTAGCTGATGCCTAAGGGAGTATACTACAACATCTCTGTCTAATGTGTAAATTTGTATTGATTGTTATGTTCTGGATTTCTGCATTCTCCCAGAGGTACCATATAAATTTATGTAGAATAAATTAAAAGAATTGTGAAAAAGGAAGAAGGCATATTTCAAACAGTGAAGATGGGTACATGTGAGTCTTGTGGCTATCATTCAGTGAAAGAATATGCCAGTGTAAGTGAAAAATAAAGAAAAATATTGGGATTTTATGAAGAACACTGCATCAATCATATGGATTGAATGTTTTCCTTTTGTTCTTTTTATTTTATTTATTTTAGGATTTTTTGACTTTTACCACCAAAACAAATCTCGAAATTGTTTTTTTACTGCCAAAAATTTCAAAAGTTGTATTTTACCACCAAAAAAATTTCTTAAAATTGTTTTTTACCACCTACCGTCAAGAAAACCGTTAAATTTAACGGTTTAAAAAAAAAACTCTTCGATTTTCGTGTGCAAAACATGTTCATAGGTTTAGGGGGGCATTTTGGACCTATGGGTCCAATTTGAAGTCAGAATTGACAAAAAATGATCGAAAATGCCTCTTTTTGCGTGTTTCACGCAAATCGAGGTATTTTAAACACACAAAAAGAAGCATTTCCGATCATTTTTTGTCGATTCCGACCTCAAATTGGGTCCGTAGGGCCAAAATGCCTCCCAAAACATGATGTGTTTGGCACAAAAATCGAAGAATTTTAAATATTTCGTTAGTTTTTTGACGGCAGGTGGTAAAAAACAACTTTTATTTTTTTTTTTGGTGGTAAAATAAAACTTTTAAAATTTTTGGTAGTAAAAAAAATTTCGTGATTTTTTTTGGTGGTAAAAGTCAAAAAATCCTTTATTTTATTATTATTTTTTTACCTTAGTGCTTACCATTAAGACATTACCTTTGCGTTCTCTTCTGGATTGGTCAGTTCCCAGCCTTTCTTGTATAGGCTGCTTGAAATGTGGAATTTGAGGTCTGTTTCAATTTCCATTGGAGGTAATTGGTTTAACCTAAGGATATCTTTGTAGGGATGCTTTTGTTGATTATTGGGTCAACGGTAATATGCTGACCATGGACATAGCTACTCAAATATATACTATCATGAAGCAACCAGACTGCAAATATTTGACCCAGGTGAGTTTGATGATTCTTTTTCATTTTTTCTCTCTTCCCCCCCCCCCCCTAGTATGTTGAACACTATTTCTCTTGAAGTTGTTTCTGTATTAATAAAAGAGAGCATTCAGGACAAAGATTTTATTAGTTTAGGTTTCAGGTTTCAAAGTTTCTAACTTGTGGTTTAAGCCTGTAAGGATCTGGCTTTAGGTTTCATTTGAAGTTCACATTTTCTTGTCTTTTGAATGTTTGCATTTTGAGTATTTTCCCTTGTAAATTAAGTGGCAGGCTTTGCTTTTAAATCTTATTTTTCTTTATTTACCCATGGTCATAACCTTGGTATTTTTATTTCCACATGTATGTAATATCGCTAATGGTCACTTTGACACTGAGAACAGAGGAAGTGGGAAGAATGATAGAGCAGGTCCAGCAATTGTGAAGATGCAAATCAATTAATCATTAATCAGAATCTCCTGTATTTGCTGCATAAATTAGTCAACTTTGCTTGTAGGAATATAAAGATTTTTCTCTGAGTTGCTGCCCAGATTTTCCTTATTTTCGTGAGAACAGTGAAATAATAAGCACTGGAAGAAAAAAAAATGCTGGTTTTTTCATTGTTAGCTTCTTAATCTTTAAAAAAGAATTTTGAGTGCATCTTTTATTCTTTATTTGCTCTTGTATATTTGATTTAAAGATGATTTTCTTAAAAATATCAGAAATAAGAATTTTTGGGTAATTCGTGTTGTAGTTGCCTGCTTTTTAAAAGATTCTGGAAAATCCTCTTGATGCTGAAAATGATTTGCTCTCCGTAGGGTGTATTTTGAGTCATTGTTGATTTTCTTTTTAAAATTGAATGAGAGACCATGTGCCATAACGAGGAAGAAATCTCAGTAGGAAGAAATTTTTAAGGGATGTTAGCTCAGAGGATCATAAATAAATATTAAATACATTGAAAGCAGAATAAGTATTTTTATTTATTTTTTATTTTTTTTTAAAAAAAAAATAAAAAAAATAATCGCATCTTATTGTTTGTAAATCAAGTATCAAAAGTAAGGGAAAGAAAACCCAAATACCTGGCTAACTCTTTTATATGCCACATTTTTTACTTGTGACCCACAATGGAGGTCTAGAGTTCCATAGTAATATATGTAAAGCTATTGAGTCCTGATTATTGTATTTATATGGTTAAAATGTACAATGTTCTAGAATTAATTTCTTGTTTACGGACTAACATGATTGAATTCTTGCTGTAGGATGACTTTAAGCCTGTACTTCGAGAGCTTTTGTCAACTCATCCAGGACTGGAATTCTTGCAGAGTACGCCAGAGTTTCAGGAAAGATATGGTATTTTCTTGATTTCATTCTATTATTATATGCTCATGTAGTATTCAGGATGAACTTTTTAGATTTTTTTTTTTTTTTTTTTTTTTTTTTTTTTTTTTTTTTTTGCATTTTACCTTTCAAAATGCTTTCACCTTTGTGTCAGTTCATTTTGCTTCATTAATTGGGAATCTGAAGTGAGGTAAGCTGGCAAAACTTTTTTGTTTTTGTGCTCACGTTTTTGGATTAGGTCGGTTTGGAGTTATCAATTTAGCTTGTTTAATTCTCGGCTGCTGGTGCTTTGTTGAAAAGGTGAACAATGAAGCTACACTCCGATAGTGTTTTAGTCGCTAGTAGTAGCATTTGAGGATCTATAAGTTATTTTGGGGATGTTTGATTAGAATACTTAAATTCTATATTTAGTTGAGATCTTGAGGTTGATTGTGAGGATTAAAATTACACTACTTGGTTTCTCCAATCTGCACAGCTTCTTCAGAAAACCTCCTAATTTGACCCCCCCTCTTTTTTTTTTTTTTTTTTTTTTTTTTTTTTTTTTTTTTTTTGTTTAACCATCATATTTTCTTCAACGTACACCATTGTCATATGGAAATATATGTCTGGGTCATACACAAGATGTGAATGCCAAAAATATCAGCAAGTTTCAACCTGTTAACAAGTCCAGGTGTTGTATATATTCATGTCAAATGGCTTCATCTGGTTTCTTGATAAGCTGAAATGTAGATTTCCTGATCCTGGCATGCTTTATCCAACTTATTCTGGCAGGTATTGTCTAGGCTGATGTCTGTGTAGACCTTGTATGAGCTGAATGTGTTGATTGGGTGAGTGTCTAAGTGAAAGTGTCAGACCTATTTTTAAGTGTAGAGTATTTGACAAAGGTACTTGAGTTAAGATGAAGAGTCAGAGTAACATATTATAACTTATAAGTGAAAATCGACTAACCCATATTGTAAGTGTTTCTATCAGTTTCTGGGTTGAATGGTGTATTTGTTTGTGTTTCAAGCCTCAATTCTTCATATTTCATTTTTTTTTACTAGGCTCTGTGCTTAAATTTTTATTTTATTTTTACTATTATTGTCTAGGGCTGATGTATCTGTAGACCTTGTATGTTTTGAGCGTGTTGATTAGAGCTTGATATTATGTCTTCTTCCCTAAAAAAATATATATGGCCAGTTGACTTTTTGAGATTTGTTGACAAATCTATGTGAAAGGTTCTTAATTTTATGAAGAAAAAAAAACTATATTTTTGTATTAATTTATTCAAACCAATCAATATTACATCTTCAAAACTAATAATCAAAATAACTAAAAATTTGATTAGATGTAATTAGGCTTCTTTTTTAATCGGATCCTCTGACTTTTTTCTCTTTTCCCCTTGGTATCATGGTATATATTAGAGTTTTAATATGTCTTTTAGTTTGTAATTTCTTTTCATTTGGTGATGGGACAGCGGAAACTGTTATATACAGAATTTTTTACTACATTAATAGAGCCGGAAATGGTCAACTAACCCTCAGAGAGCTGAAGCGTGGAAATTTAATTGCTGCTATGCAACAAGCTGATGAAGAAGAGGACATTAACAAAGTTCTGAGGTAGAGTTGAGCTGAATTTTCTTTATACAAGCTACTTCCTTTGTTTTTTCCACACTTGCAACACAGTTTTTTGGCACACTATTCGAGGAAGTGATTAGAAAAGATAATCGGACTGATTAAATTATAAAATTTAAACTTTAACAACTTACCACTTTCTTCTTATTGGTGGCAAAATATATTATTAATTTGTCCATATACCTAGTTAGTATCTTCCTTATAGTGCGTGCCGAAGTGTTGTGTTGCAAGTTAATAAAAGCAGAGGAAGTATGTTTTATTGCACTTGTAGATGGTAGTTTTATCTTCAAAATTTAATAGTGAATTATGGTGTCTTTTGTGGCATGTGTGATGGTGCCCATCGTTATTACACACAAGGCTGTGTATTTGGTTATTGGGTGCATGCTGTAGAAGGTTTTAACTTATGTTCTAGATGATGACTTATTTTGGAGTCCTTGCTTTCTTGGGTTTTTTGTTCTGTTGAAACAGTAGCAATTAATATATAGAATCTAAAGACCCCATTTTAGGTTCTATGCAGTTTCATAGTCTGAAAGAATGGGTCGTAATTATTTTTGTCATTTTCTTGTTGGGGGTGGGGAAGGGAAATGTGTAGTTATCTTTAGGTAACTTGTTTGATCATATTTTGTCACTACTGTCGGTTTTTTTAAACTTTCCATCCCAATGTAGTTTGTACCCCTTTTTGAGCTCTCATGGTTTGTTCCAGTTAGGGAGCTTTCTCATTTCTGCACTTTCTAACTATTGCTTTGTAGGTACTTCTCCTATGAGCACTTCTATGTGATATATTGCAAGTTTTGGGAGTTGGACACAGATCACGATTTCTTCATTGATAAAGAGAACCTTATCAGATATGGGAACCATGCACTTACTTACAGGATTGTTGATAGAATATTTTCCCAGGTAAAATGTCTCGGTAGTTCTTTGTTCTCTGTGAACAAAACCTTTCCCCAGAGAAGGCTTTTATCTGTGTACACTTTTACAAACTAAGAATTTCTTTCCCCTTGCCTAATGTTCTACTAGGTTCCGAGAAAGTTCACTAGTACTGTTGAGGGCAAGATGGGATATGAAGATTTTGTTTATTTCATATTGGCAGAGGAAGATAAATCTTCAGAACCCAGTCTTGAATATTGGTATGTCTAGTCAAACGTATTTTTCATGCATCTTTTACAGTTTGGGTTGGCAGAATTTCTGGTGTCTTAAATTTATGACCTATGGGTTTGGAAGACGTTCAAGTTGAGTATTGGTTAGCAACTTTATATTCTATTCCAGTGTTTTGGAGTTGGGGTTATAATGGTCCCAAGGTTGATGTGGGAAAAATCAGGGGGAGGGGGCAGTTGTTTAGCTTTGGATCCTGAGAGATGTCATAAATCAGTAATTCATTTTCTGTAAAAAAGAACATTACATGAAATAATGATTGTAGTTATTAGGGTTTTTTTTTTTCTTTTCCTGGATCTAAGTATTTTCTTTGTTGCTTCTCTGGGTTTCTGAGTTTTTTCCATTGACAGGTTTAAATGCATAGACCTCGATGGAAATGGAATCATCACAAGGAACGAAATGCAATTTTTTTATGAAGAGCAGTTGCATCGAATGGAGTGCATGGCTCAAGAACCAGTGCTTTTTGAAGATATATTATGTCAGATCATTGATATGGTTGGACCTGAGGTTTGTCTTTTTGCAAAACTTGATACACTTATAATTTTTTTCATTATATTGGATTGTGAATTGTGGTGAGCTTGTCATACACGTCTGATTATTTTCCCCTTGGTACTTCCTATTTTTCAATTTCCCCAAATTTTTGAGTGTCCTTTATTTAACTTCACAGTTCACACTTGAAGGGGAAATTTATAATCCCTATCTTTGGTAATAACTATGAAATTTTTTAAGCTATATTCCCAACTATGTAGGGTGCTCCCACAATATTTCATGCATGTAATCCAAAATAATCTCATATAGAAAGCAGTTAAGCATGTTAAATGGTGTTTTTTGAAGCTCTGATTGGCCTTTCCATCTTTGAAAGCAACTGGTAGCCACCCTGATACCCCCACTGCCCGCTCCGCCATCCTTTCTCTCTGCTATCTGCAATCACCTGTCCTTGGGAGGGTGTCCTTAAATTTAGTAAAATTGGTTTCTTGCTGCTTATTTATATTAGGATTTCTACAAATTGATAGGCCTATAAGTATTCTTAGAAGCCTGCCAGGCTTAAAAGCTTTTAAGGGGAGGGGAGCGGAGAACGAGAGAAAGGTGGGAGTTTATTTACAAAATGCGATGGGTAAAATTGCTTGGGAAGGAAATTTGGTTGAATTTTGGGTGAACTTGGATACATGAAGTTTGTTGAGAGTTGGCTCACTTTTTTCTGATTAGGTAACAAGGGAATTTGGGTTATAGGCTTATAGCAGTGGTAGAAAGTTTAGCAAAGTAAAGACTGCTAGAGCTTTGTTTTTCATAGGTGCATTGAAAATTTAAAATTACAAGGGCGGATGAACTTAGCTGTAGTTTTGGGGTCGGCAGACATTTATGCACATGAAATGGTCTAACAGCGTAACATTGCTTTGGTGATTGAATGAGAAGAAAAGGTAAAATGACGGGAAAAAAAAAATAATAATAATAAAAATTAAGCACAGGGCCTTGTCAAACCTTATCTGTTATTGTATGAGAAAGTGAGTTGGGGAGGGATTGGGTAGGAGGGAAGAAAGAATAATGCAAGAATATTATGTGCTTTGGGTTGCAACTTCCAACTCACACTGGATCTTTTTGGGAAGGTAAACTATATAGTTGGGATTATTCTAGAATAACACACAGCTAGGATTATTATTAGAAGATTAGAGATACTTGTGGCTATTGCCTATTGATCATTTCTAATGAAATACAGAAGCAAATTTATGGAAATGACCTACAGGCTATTTCAGGTGGCTTATTTTGTGCTTACAGGGTGTATTAGGAGTTTTTTTCTTCACCTTATTTAAGGTGCCTTTAATCTGAATTTAGTCTGGTCTGATTTATATTTATGGGTTTGAATCCATTGTCCTTAATATATTGTCTTATCTAGTGTGAATTTTTCTCGTCTGTTCTGATGTTAACAAGAATAAGGTGAAGAGAACAATACATAAATGTAAAAAAACAGCCTGTCACTGGACACAAGTGAGACAGTGACACTTAAAGTCTCCTGAGAAGAAACTTTTTTAAGGCTTGAAACAGTGCTCATATTATATGTACACTTAACTTGTATAATTTTTGAATTAAAATCCTCTCAGGTTTGCATGACCAATTCGTAATGCTTTGTATCATTGTTGCCAATGCATGATTCCAATATGTGATGTATCCCATATTTTGTTTGCAGAACGAGAGTTATTTCACCATTCGTGATCTGAAAGGAAGTAAACTTTCAGGAAGCGTGTTTAATATCCTCTTTAATCTAAATAAGTTTATGGCCTTTGAAACTCGTGACCCATTCCTTATTCGCCAGGTACGTCAAAATGATCAATTGCTTTTTTAGATATTGTGGATATAAGTTAGGTGTCATAGTAGCTTCTCTGCTATTTTTCATGTTAGACGTGTAAATATGTTTATGTTTTAAACAGGAGAGGGAGAATCCAACCTTGACAGATTGGGATCGGTTTGCACATAGAGAGTATATTAGACTTTCTATGGAAGAAGATGTTGAAGATGCTTCTAATGGAAGTGCAGAAGTATGGGATGAATCTCTTGAGGCTCCCTTTTGAGTTGGATATGGTAATGTAACCTTTCAATTATTTGGGTTAAATTGTCTGATGTGAGCATATGTTTGCGGTTGTGCTGCCATATTTAAATTTTGTATTTACATTTGTTTGATGGACTGCAATGAGTGGCTTTTCTTAAGGTTGTGATATAATTTGTTTTACTATATCACTCTTATGAAGTAGGGGGTGGGTGGTGAGGTGGCTGGTTTTTTAAGGATGACAATGAGCTTCCCATCAGAATGGTGATTGGTGTTACCATGTTATGCTCTTAAATCGTGCAGTTTTCATACTAGTAACAAAAGTAAAAACCTAAGCATGCTTGAAATAGCTGGTTTTGTAATATTGCTTTATTATGTCTTACTACTATACCTAATTTCTCTCAAGATTTATTACGTCTCTATGGCAGTTGCTTCACCACAAGATGCGAGTTCTTTCATAAAGCAGGCCATCGGATGGGAGCATTGTCAATTTAATGGAGTTGGCCTAGTTAACGACACTCATCTTCATCAGTCACGGATGCCTAAGCTGGGTTATTGATGTATACCTTAAATATAAGATGCCTCGAAGATTTTATCTGATAACAAGCAGTGCTTATTTTGTCGGCTCCATATCGGATCCCGCTGGCCTCTTTGGGGAAGAGGAGCGGTCATTTGCTGACAGGTGATTAGTTGAAACCAAGAAATGGTAGTGTTAGAACATTTGGCAATTCTTTTGGGTCTTCGCTGTAAGATGTCGTTTGGTCTTTTTCTTTCCCCTTTTTTTTTCTTATCTATTCTTTCAATTTAAATATTTTTCTCAAGTACTCGTATCTTTTTAAGGAGGATTTTTTTTTATATGTATCAAAGATGTCCCTTGTTATGCCAATGGCTGGGTTACTTGGACAGTTTTTCTCTTGTGATATATTGAGCTATTAGTTTAATGTTATGTTCTGGAAACGGCAAGGTTAAATGAGAACAATAGCAAGATATTCTGTTGCACAGAATAGGCACTTATCCACTAAGCGAACACACATAGGGTTGAAAATTTTCACCAATGTGCGAGGAATGTGATAAGTGACGTGAGCCATTGAGAAGTTGGTCTAATGAAGTTAGTTTTATGGGTTGGGGAGTAGTTCAGATTTTTATAGTGTTTTTTGAAATTTAGTTTCCTGATGAATTGTATGGTTAAGTTTGGTTTAGCCGCTTAATAGGAAATGAATTGGAATTATATTTGATAAGAGTAGTAAGTTAGCTATTTGGTATATTGCTCGTTTGGGATTATTGGTTACACTCCAGAATTAATTGGCTCCAACGGTTCTCCGTTTCCCCTTGAAACCTTGGTCCTTGATTGATAGTTTTGATTTCTATTTATTATCTTTAGATTGATTTTTAATGACTTCAATTAAGATGTTCAAATAACATCGAAAAAAGTTTTAGTCCCATAATGATTTGTGGTTAGCTAACATAAAGAACTATCTGTGTAGTTAAAAAAAGAAATGCAATAAAGAAAACTTGAAGAAAGCCTACATCTTTTTTTGAAAGAAGTCCTAAAGGACGTTGGTTCTACATGTTGATAAGGAGCCACTTAGTCTTTGAACTAATATCGTATGTAATGATCATGTAGCTCTTATCGACCCTGGTTTACAGGCGTAGAATTGCAGGACAAAATAATTTACATTGCTGATGGATTGACCGTGAATAGCTGGGCAGTATTATGTTTGAGAGTGTCTTCAGGCCTGTGCAATTGGAGTCTCTTTAACATCAAACCTTGTAAGATGTGCATCCTTGCACTTGAAAGAAGATACAAAACAAAAGGAGATAAAAAATTTAAATCAGTAGGAAAGCCTAGTAAAATTTACTAATATATTTGTTGATTCCTCACTTTTCATGACAGTTGTATGTCCAATCATATTCTAATTTGCAAATAAATAAACTAAAATCTGCTAACAACTCAAGTCTGCGAACAAGCATACATAATTCTACAGACTTTGCTATACATGGATCTACTTTTATGTGAAATAACAGCTTAACCAGCTCCAATTGATCTTCAAACCTGAGATTTTTTTACCCCTTTGCTTCTTTCTTCTTCTTTTTTTTTTTTTTTTTTTTTTTTTTTTTTTCAGACTGGGAAAAAGAGAATTAAAACATTAAAAGAATGTGTGAAAATGATGATTCTGAACTTGTAACTATGATATGTGATCAAATCACGAATTTAGTTCAGCAAGTTCCTAACGCCCTGAAGAAGCAAAATCTTCAATGACAGTGATTTGGATGTGTAGTTAGTTATTCTGCAGAAAGCTGAAACGCACCTAAGGTAATTCATTCAACACATCTCAAGTGAACGAGTTAGAACTAAGTACGAGTAGATCCTTGTGAACGAGTTAGAACTAAGTACGCTCCCAAGTCCCAACTGACTCGACACTACATTGAACTAACTTGACTCTGTTAACCTTACTAGTCAAGTGCTAAAAAGGGGATTGGGGATAAGTATCAAAAGTTATACAAGTAAGTCTTATAACATGATATTTTAAAAAAAATATTATTAGTTTTTATTATATAATTTTGACAATTACTAACTATTAAATACTTCATATAAGTGTTTAAATACTTTTTATATAATTTTGACTATTACTAATTCTCAACACTAATGCATGCATGTCAATGTGCTTATTGGTAATTTTACACACTCAAACAATTATCAGCAAAAAATTATTTACCAAACACATACTTTTATACAATCAGCTAATCAAACAAACTAATACAATCAAATAGTCAAATCAAACTAACATAATCAGCTAGTCAAACTAACTAATACGATCAATTCAGTTAGCAACTATTCACCCAGGCCAATATGAGTAATATCTAATTCTAGCTACAAAATTCTCCAATAGATAGCAACATGCTTTTTGCAATTTTGTAGGCCCTGCCCTGCTTAACATCAACATATCATCACCAAACTCTTTTTTAGGAGCCAAAAACCTAAGTAGAGCTTCAATCGTCCAATCCCTCTTTTCCTCCAAGTTCCAGACCAGCAAAAGCAAGCCACGCCAATCTGCTGGATTTTAGAGAAGTTTCCTTCCTTTGCTAAAGGATATCATTGTATACACGGGGAAAACATCACTATGGAACCTGTGAAGGGGGCATATTAAGCAAATTAAACAATCGTCTCAAAATAGTTCATAAAATTTGATGAGCATACATTTGGGAAATGATCAGGAAAAAAAAGATCCCCAAATTCTTATGAATACACATATTCTTTACCTTCAAATTGACAATCTTATAGGTGTACATTTTACCCTTTCAGTTATTTTTTACCCTTTTAAACTCATGAAAGCACCACTGCCTTCATACAAAAGAGTCCATTGGTTAATTCTCCAGCATTCACAAAAAAAAACTTGTAATCTAACATAAAACAAAGCCAATAACCCAATTTCACTCTTCTTCAGTCACTTTAATATCTAACCATATTCGTATACACAGTGAGCATATTCAACCTTATCTACCACCGAATACTTCTATAATGTTTGTAATTTGCAAACATACACATCATCATCATCATGTCAACTAACTTCATTTTGAAGCTATCCATTTCCTATGTTATAGTTCTGTAAAAATAAATAAATAAAATATAATACCTTCCTTGATTTAGATCAGATAATACTAAAATGACTGCAATTTGAACTTGATACTTAGGCACAACTCAAAAATAGGTCATGATGTTGGTGTTTATAAGCAGATTGATAAAGCAATTGGCTTGATAAACTTTGAGCACGATTATTAAGGCAGAACTCATACTATTTACAAGAAAGGAGAATAAAACATGCACCATTGCTTTTCATATAGCAGAAAACAAATACACACACAAACAGAATCAACTTTATCGATTACAGGAGGTGGGCAAATAGAAAATAAGTTAAACTTGGAAATCAGTGTTTAATGCATTCCCAAAATATAGTCCACAATTTCCCCAATTCAACTTCAATTAAACTACATATAACAGTCATATCATCCCTAAATCAACCAATCTAAGCTGAAATTACTAATTCGCTACAGAATCGAAATAAATATAATTATATAAGCATTATAAAGAATTAAAGTAAGTCGTCAATTACTCCTACCAATTTAGCCTATTAATTTGGGTTCAAATGTGATTTTTTTTTTTTTTTCCTTTTTTCAATTTCTTTGGGGTTTGGTAACTTTTTGAGAATAACAGAAAGCAGCCTAACATTTACACTACTTCAACTAATTCTGTAAATAAAAAACCCCTAATCACTCATAACACTTAATTTTAACTAACGGCAATCATCAATTCTTAGATACTACGTAAACAAAGAATTGAAAAAGAAAGAAGAAAAAACGCAGCATTAAACAAAAAAACGATTGATAGAAATAAACAACAATCCAATCCGATCAAATAAACAAGCAACAATGAAATGCAAAAGCCAAACGATAAATAAAAAAAGGATCAAAAGGCAGAAAACATAAGTAAAATTACCTGATTGAACACGGAGTATGTCAAATATGATTACTCATCATGGCTTAGATAGTAATAAGATATAGCTTAACTTGAGCTCTAGGTCCATTAATATTCAAAGGCTAATAAGAAAACAAATGCAATTCGTTGGCAGATACCAAGTAAACACACAAATTAATACAAAGTGTGATTATCCTGTTTTGCATTCTGCAATTCAATAACAAGTTTTTGGTTGCACATCTGTAGCGAAAAAATACAATCAGAATGGCATTTAGCAAGCAGCATAAAGCAGCATGATCAGTCACCAAAAATCTCCACAGGAACAACAACCGTTACTAAAATGGTGAAATCGGTTCAAGTCCCTGACTATGATCTCCCTCTTTGTAATGATTGATGCAAACCTCATAAAATTATGACAATCGCCGCAAATTCTCAAGTTCTTCATGATCCTGATAGGTGCACCAGGGGGCTGACTGATGACCCCAAAAGTGAATGCAAGCTTTTCACTATGATGTCTCAGCAACATCTCTTTATTGCTATCATCCACATCATGATGGTCATGAGCCATCTCAACTTTATAACCCAACTTCTCCATCTCCTCCATCAATTTGTCCAACTGTAAATAAATCTCAGTAATTTGAGGATGTTCTCGTTCTCCAACCATAAAACTGTGGACCTTACCTTTAATCTCGATCCAACTTTTACCTCTATCCTTAACAGCTTCACTATCCTTAAGTAGCTGCCGTGATTTAGCAACTTTTTCCCAGTTCTTGTTTGCTGCATATATGTTAGAAAGCAATACATGATTCCCAGCATTGGTTGGTTCAAGCTCAAACAAATGCTTAGCTGCGATCTCGGCCAGCTCAAGATTCTTGAAATTTCTACAGGATGCCAACAGGGAACCCCACATAGATGCAGTTGCTTCAAATGGCATAGTTTTTATCACATCATATGCATCATGAATGTATCCAGCACGACCGAAGATGTCTACCAAGCAAGAATAATGGAGAACACTTTGTGATATGTTGTGTTCTCTCACCATAAGATCAAAGTATTTCTGCCCTTCTTTAACTAGCCCCATATGGCCACAGGCAGATAGAACTGAGAGATAGGTCACTTCATTCGGGTACAAACCAGTCTGCTGCATCTTCTCAAAAAGAATCATAGCTTCCAAGCACCGACCATGCCTAGAGAAACCTGAAATCATTGCATTCCATGAAACAACATTCTTGCTATCTTGATCAGAAAATACAGTATAAGCTTCTTTAATGGCTCCACATTTCGCGTACATATCTACAAGAGAGGAAGCCACGAAAACACTTGCACCAAAACCGGACTTAAACAAAGTGGCATTCACTTGGTTCCCTTCAGTCAAAGCACCTAGCCCTGCACAAGCAGAAAAAACAGAAGAAAGGGTAAACTGGTTTTGCTCTAACCCAACAGCTTGACCTCTATGATACAACCTCAAAGCCTCTTCATAGAGCTCATTTCGAACATAACCTGCCACCATCGAGCTCCATGTCACATCGCTCTTCTCCTCTAAGCTCTCAAAAACCCACGAGGCCTCCCCCATAAAATTACATTTCGAGTAAACATCAATCAAAGCAGTCCCAACATACACATTAGACTCTATCCCCTTCTTAACAGCAAAAGCATGCAGTTGTCTGCACTCAAAAATGGCAGATTTCGCTGCACAAGCACAAAGCACACTCGAGACAGTAAACTCACTCAAAGGGGATTCCTCTCTTCGCATTCCTACAAAGAGGGATAAAGCGTCATCTGCCCTTCCATTCTGGGTATATGCCCCAATCATAGTGTTCCAAGAAACCAAACTTCTTTCAGGCATTTTATCAAACACTTGACGAGCAGGGTGAAGAAGGCTGCATTTGCAGTACATATTGATAAGCATATTTGATGTTAAAGTATCAACCCCTAAACCAGCTCGAATGATTTGAGCATGGCAAGCTTTTCCTTCTACAAATAAACAGTTTCTTGCACAATATTGCAAGAGATTTTGCAAATACATTGTCGCCGCCATTGAAGACGAGTTTTGATGCTTGATTGCACGACCTATAACTTTATTTTTTCTGCAGAAAAACCTTGACCAAAGACAAAGCCTTGAGCTGCAGAAAACAAAAAAAAGGGACAAAGATGAGGTGGACAGCAATGAAAGTCAGCATACAATGGCAAGACCGTAAATAATTGAAGAAAGCAATGAAAGTCAGCTTGAGAAATTTGTCCAACAATTGATGAGAATGAATGAAAGCATTGATGAGGGTATTAAATCAGGCTGATAACCAAGCTTAATAGTGTTGGCGAGAACAGAGAACCCCAAATCAACAAAGTTTAAACGACAGTAGCAATTAGCGAGGATTACCTAAAAATGAAGAAGATTACCTAAAAAAGGCGAAGAAGCAGAACCAACTGAAATCAAAGCTTTGTTCCTCATCATTGTCGACGTCGAGGTTCGAACCCAGCACAACAGTCCAAGCCAAATCATTTACGAAGTAAGTATTTATCAGCTACCAGCTAGTATTTGTTATATCATTAACTATTTTATTTTATTTTTTTTTCAATTGGGGGCCCTCTCCATTTCGGGGCCCTATGCTATGGGTCTCTTTGCACAGACCCATAGCCGGCCCTGATGGTGAAGAAATTTTAAACATTCACTAAGACCCTCTTCTTTTGAGCTTCTGGGCATACCAGAGCAGATTTCAAGATAGTCGAGCAGAGCCGAGCAGATTTCAACATTGTTATTAATACTATTATTAATGTTATTATTATTATTATTACTAGATGTAAGCCCGTGCGATGCACGATTTTTAAATATTTCATTTTGTATATTTTTTTGTAATTTCTTAATTTTTTTTGTTTTTATTTTCTATTTATATTATTTTAACATTAATTTAAGGTAAAATATTTTGTTAAGTTTTAAATTATTCTTATTCACATTTTACATATATAGAGCTTGAATTTATAAATTGAAATAAATATTACCTCATTCATCTTTATAAATATTAATTTATAAATAAATAGATAAATTTATAAAGATAATTTTTGTTTTTTTTTCATAATTTAAATCTTAAATTACTATTTTTTGTTTTCAATTCTCAAATTTCATTAGTTAATTTTTTCTTAAATGGTGACTGAAAATTAAAATTCTAAAGTAATATATAAATCTAAATTTTCATTGGTCGAAATATTACTTTTGCTTATGTGGCGTGCGATGCACGAATTTTTATATACATTTTGTATATAAATATTTTTTTGGTGATCTCTTAATTTTTTTCTTGCATTATAAGTTTAAAATTTTGTATGAAAGTATCATATCATCAGATATTTACATAAAACCATTAACATCAAATGATAATTTATATTTTTTAAATGTCAGAATATAATTTTTAGTTTTTTAAATAATATAAATCCTAAAATCTAAAGATAATTTTTAGTTTTGGAACAAATAAAAATGATAATATTTAGTGTTCTTAAATAAATAAAATCCTAATAAATTACTATTCGTCGTTTTTATTTAAAATTTCATTCATCACTTTTGTTTAGGTGGCGAGTGATTTTTTTAATTCTAAAATAAAATAGAAATATAATTTTTAATTGGTTGAAAAAATACTGTTAAAGGGTGGTGAAATCATTTTTTTAGTAAAATAAATCTATTTGAACTTTTTTTGGTGCTAATAATATTTTCCATCTTTTTTGTGGTTTTAAAATTAAAAAAATTTATTATGAATGTTGCTATTTGGTCAGCTTTGTTGCTGATTTTTACATCATTACTATGAATGTAAGCCCGTGCGATGCACGTTTTTAAATATTTCATTTTGTATATTTTTTTTGTAATTTCTTAATATTTTTTTGTTTTTATTTTCTATTCTATTATTTTAACATTAATTTAAGGTAAAATATTTTGTTAAGTTTTAAATTATTCTTATTCAAATTTTACGTGTATAGAACTTGAATTTATAAATTGAAATAAATATTATCTCATTCATCGGATAGTTAGATAAAATCATTAAATCAAAATATATTTTTTAATTTCTAATTATTTGTTAAAATAATATAAATCCTAATGTAAAAGATAATATAAAAGATAATTTTTGTTTTTTTTTCATAATTTAAATCTTAAATTACTATTTTTTGTTTTCAATTCTCAAATTTCATCTGTTTATTTTTTCTTAAATGGCGACTGAAAATTAAAATTCTAAATTAATATATAAATCTAATTTTTCATTGGTCGAAATATTACTTTTGCTTATGTGGCGTGTGATGCAATATTTTTTTGGTGATCTCTTAATTTTTTTCTTGCATTATAAGTTTTAAAATTTTGTATGAAAGTATCATATTATCAGATATTTACATAAAATCATTAACATCAAATGATAATTTATATTTTTTAAATATCAAAATATAATTTTAGTTTTTTTAAATAATATAAATCCTAATATCTAAAGATAATTTTTAGTTTTGTAACAAATAAAAATGATAAATTTAGTGTTCTTAAATATTTAAAATCCTAATAAATTACTATTCGTCGTTTTTACCTACGTGGCAAAATTTTAAAATTTCATTCGTCACTTTTGTTTAGGTGGCGAGTAATTTTAATTCTAAAATAAAATAGAAATCTAATTTTTAATCGGTCGAAAATATACCTTCGCTTATGTGGCGCTCTCAATGTTCTCCAGAAATGCCTACTTTATTTATATATATTAGATTATTATTATTATTATTATTATTATTATTATTATTATTATTATTATTATTATTATTATTATTATTATTATTATTATCTCAAAAACAAAAGTCATACAACCTACAATAAATTAGTGGGAAGCCGAGATACAATCTGGGCCCCCACTCCTCTAGCTATTGCAAATCCTACCCTAGTGAAGATATGAGCTGCAGCACGAGCCCCAATGTCTTGCGTCGTCGAGAACCTCTGAATCCGCTTCACTAACGCAACAAATTATTATTATTATTATTATTATTATTATTATTATTAAGTGCATATACGAATTAGGTGAATAAAAACATAAATATATGTGTACCATATTTAACATATGTTAATAGTATAAACATAAAAAACAATAATTTACTTATATTTTTTTTTTACAAAATTTTTTAAATATAATGATTTAATGAGTAATAATAATTTTACTTATAAATTTCTCTTAATCATATATTTTTAACCCTAAAATAATAATAATAATAATAATATACAAAATACTACTTCAAAACAACCTCTTTTTTTTTAATTCTTAAATTGTATGGAAATATTTGAAAATTAATTCAACTCTCTGAACTAACAATCAATACCCACATAAAATTTTTCTACATATTGTGATTCTAATATCTAATGTTTATAAAAGAAATTGTTATTAATTGTTTTTATTATTATTATTTATTTATTTGAAAGAATTGTTATAATTATTAGAAATTATTAATTAATAATATTATTATATATTAATTCTTAATAGTTTGAACTATTATATATTATTATTGATAATTATTATTAGTGATTAATAAATATTAATTATTATTAATATTAATAATTATTAAAATTATTTTTAATATTAATAATTATTAAAATTATTTTTAATATTAATAATTATTATATTTATTCAAAATAATAAATTATTATCATCAATAAAATATTAATTATTATTATTAAATATTAATTATTATTGTTGTTATTATTAATTATTATTTGAAAATAGAGCAGAGCAGAGCATAGCAGAGCCGAGCAGAGCAGAGCAGATTTCTTTTGAACAGAGCAGAGCAGAGCAGATTTGATTTGAGCAAAGCAGAGCTGAACAAGGCTCAACAGAGTAGAGCAGAGCAGAGTAAAGCAGCTCTAAAGAACGGGGCCAAATAATGGTTGCGTTTGGGAAAAAAATATGAGAGCGGTTTGAGCAATTCAATCAGCGGGGGTTTGGGTAGGAGTAGGTTCAATGAGCACTAATTTTTTTTTTCTGGTTTTTTCACCAAATAACATTGATTTTTTTTCACAAACTTTTAAAATAATCGGGTGTACAATAATTATTATAAAGATAGGCTAAAGTGATCAAAAGTTACCCCTGAAATGAATAAAAGTTACCCCAATATGCATAAAAGTAACCCAATACAAATAAAAGTTATCTACGCTTTATTAGTAAAGAATCACATTTTAAATGACTAAAATCAATTATTAGTGATCGAATGTAATTAAATTGCCATTATAAAACTTTTCTTGTTGTCTAATTATATAAAATTTGTATTATGTTTAAAATTACCCTAAAAAAGGCAAAAAGTTATCCTAAAATTAGGTAAAAGTTACCGTTATACTGCTCGATGTACAATAATATTAGTGTAAACCGGGTGTATACAAAAGTTTTCCTTAACCCTACTGATTGATAAAGTTAACAATTATTAGTCATCAAGAGTATATGGTGTATTTTGTGAAAACTCATGGATACATGATGAATATAAAAAATTTCAGAAATATATGGTGAATAAATAAAAAAAACTCTGGGACATATGGTAAAAAATCTGTTTTTTTTTTTTTTTAAATATGAAAATGATGCTTTGAGCAGTTTCAAATGTCCTTTATACCCTTTCCTAAATAAAATAAGTCCTTTATACGAGTTAAAAAAAGGACTTCACTTTTTGATTTTTTCACCTTAAAGGACCTCTCACTTTTTCTTTCACCTTCGAGGACTTGTGGTTAACTTTCCGGAAATTTAACTCAACGTTAATTCACCGGAGCAAATAAAAAAATTAATAAAAAAAACTTAGGTCCTTAATTTATGTCAAAATAATTGTATCAATTCTTTATACAGTACGAAGTGCATATTGTATTATAATTAATTCATTATCATGCATTAATGTTTTTCTTAAATAGAAAATTTTCTTTCTCATTCTCAGGCAGTTGCTCCATCGACGGTTAATTGAAATATTTTTTCCCTAAATTTTTGGTTAAATGGTTTTGTATGGCGTACTATTTATGTTGTTGATAGTGTTGCTATATTTTTTACAGGTTGGATTTGATTGTAATTGGGTTTATGTGGTTTCAGATTTAATGAAAAAGTTTTATTTTACTATTTTTGTTTCTTATTATTTGCAATAAAGGATTATTATTTGTGAGATAGGTATAATTAATTCATTTGTTGTTAATAACAAGAAACTTTTAAAGTAACATTTTTTCATTTTTTTTTACTCATTTTATTTATGGACAAAGAGCCTTAATGAAAGTTTGGCAATTTGTGACAACTGCTTCAATAATTATCCGAATTAGTATTGGATTTTGGTTCGATGAATCTAGTTCAAAGTTGACATTTTCTTGTTAAATGAAATGATATGGTCTTTATTTTTAAATTGGTAAATTAATAGAAATTGTTGCAATGGAGGAAGAGGAATTGCTCACACTTAAACTACTTAAATTTGAAGAAAAAAAGAAAGGTAAAAGGTCGTTAAAGGTTAAAAATATGGAATGTTAGGTCCTAAAGTTTTGTTAACGTACTTATTAGTGATGTTAGAACTTTATGCTCAACTCATGTTGAGTTAACTTAATTCTATTTTGGCCGGAAATAAAAACTTAGGTCCTCAAAGGTGAAAAAAAAATGGGAGGTCCTTAAAGTGAAAAAATTGAAAAGTAAAGTCCTTTTATGTAGGGTAGTCCTATACTTTTATGTACTCCGTACTTTTTTTTTCTTCTTTTTCTTTTTCTTTAACAGCGTTCCAAAAAGGCAAAAAGGAGGCTAGCTCCCAAGTCCCAAGTGACTCGACACTACATTAAACCAACTTGACTCTCTAAACCATACTAGTCAAGTGCTAAAAAGGGGATTGGGGATACGTATTACACTTGCAATTGGAATTTTTTTTAAAAAAATATAAAATCCCATTTCAAAAAACAAAAAAATCTCAATGAAGCAGTAAGATTAACAAAATAACTATGGAATTAAGATTGAAAAAGGAAGAGGGTGGTAGATCCAACAAATTGAATTATCTACCTTGTTGATGGAGCCAATTTTACCTCTTCATTCAATATGATAAAAAAAAGGTACTGCGGAGTATGATATAATGGAGATTACATGCATGATGTTAGGAGATTTTAAAAAAAAAAAAATTGTTTGACATTATTTTCTTTTGTTTTGTTTACCTTAATTATGCTATTGATTTCCCCAAAAAAAAAATATTAAGTATCACAAGTTATAACATGAAATTTAAAAAAAATATAATTAGTTTTTATTATATAATTTTGACAATTACTAACTATTAAATACTTGTATAAGTTGGTTTTTAAAAAAAAATAAAAAAAAATACTTCGTATAAGTTTTTAAATACTTTTTATATAATTTTGACTATTACTAATTCTCAACACTAATGTATGTCATTAATGTCAATGAGCTTATTGGTAACTTCACACATTCAAACAATTATTAGTTAAAAATTATTTACCAAACACGTACTTTTATACAATCAGCTAAATAAACAAACTAATATAATCAAATAGTCAAATCAGACTAATATAATCAAATAGTCAAGTGAGACTAATATAATCAGCTAGTCAAACCAGCTGATACGATCAATTAAGCTAGCAGTATTCACTAGGGCCAATATGAGTAATTTTTAATTCTAGCTACAAAACTTCTCCAATAGATAGCAACATGCTTTTTGTAATTTTGTAGGCCCTGCTTATCATCAGCCAAACTCTTTTTTAGGAGCCAAAAGCCTAAGTAGAGCTTCAATCAACACCAATTTTTCAATGTTCAACGCCATTTTATATTTCAAGTCCAGTCCCTCTTTTCCTCCAAGTTCCAGACCAGCAAAAGCAAGCCACGCCAATCTGCTGGATTTTAGAGAAGTTTCCTTCCTTTGCTAAAGGATATCATTGTATACATGGCGAAAACATCACTATGGAACCTGTGAAGGGGGCATATTAAGCAAATCAATCATCTCAAAATAGTTCATAAAATTTGATGAGCATACATTTGGGAAATGATCAGAAAAAAAAAGATCCCAAATTCTAATGAATACACATATTCTTTACCTTCAAATTGAGAATCTTATAACCGATTGAATGTTGGTGTAGTGGTGATTGGGACTACACTTGGTAGGGAGGACCCGTGTTCAATCTCCCACACAACAACAATTGAGAGGGGACTGGAACCTAACCACCCAGAACTGATTCCCAAATCCGGATTAGCCCAAAGGGTAAACCGGGTAGAACACCAAAAAAATTGAGAATCTTATAGGTGTACATTTTACCCTTTTTGTTATTTTTTAACCTTTTAAAGAAATTTAAACCCCTTGAAAGACCACTGCCTTCATACAAAAGAGTCCATTGGTTTATTCTCCATCATTCACAGAATATAGTACAAAAGAGTCCATTGGTTCACTCTCTTTCAGTCACTTTAATATCTAACCATATTCGTATACACAGTGAGCATATTCAACCTTATCTACCACCAAATACTTCTATAATGCTTGTAATTGCAAACATAAACACATCATCATCATCATCATCATGTCAACTAGCTTCATTTTGAAGCTATCCATTTCTTAAAACCCCTAATCACTCACAGCACTTAATTTTAACTAACGGCAATCACCAATTCTTAAATACTACGGAAACAAAGAATTGAAAAAAAAAGAAGAAAAAAAATGCAGCATTAAACAAAGAAACGATTGATAGAAATAAACAACAATCCAATCCGATCAAATAAACAAGCAACAACGAAATGCAAAAGTCAAACGTTAAATAAAAAAAAAGGATCAAAATGCAGAAAACATAAGTAAAATTACCTGATTGAACACGGAGTATGTCAATAATTCAGTGAGTACATAAACCTAGCCTGGGCATTGGAGGCTTGGGACTGCTATTTTATCCTAGCTACCTGACATAGGGATAGCAGATGCTTGTCACTGCCATTGGAATGAATCGCCGATCCTTGGCTCAAAGAAGTACTAAAAACAAATCTTGCTGCTATAGATCGTATTGCTAGTAACACACAATCACCTCCAAGCACCTAAGAGTCCAAGACAAATTCTAGCAGCTAACTATACTCTTCCAGTCTGTCAAATATGATTACTCATCATGGCTTAGATAGTAATAAGATATAGCTAAACTTGAGGTCTAGGTCCATTAATATTCAAAGGCTAATAAGAAAACAAATGCAACTCGTTGGCAGATACCAAGTAAACACACACAATCAAATTAATACAATAGTAAAAGCAAGCCCAAAAAGAAGTAATATCAAATGTTCCAAATCACAAATGTTAAGTTTTTTCCTACAATCAATCAAAAGTTACACATTGACTTACTGATTTGTCTGATTATATGTTTCAGTCATTGCTCCTTCCACTATTCCTTGTTATCACTCGCTCAATTTCCCGAAAACTTTTTCAGTAATTCCTTGTCTTCATCACCAATATTTGGATCATTAAGTAAGCTCACAAAAGACGATATAGTGTGGTTATCAGCAGCAAACTCTTTGTTTCTCATTAAGCTGATAAGCTCTAAAGCTCTCCTAACATCCTTTCCATCTATAAATCCTCTAATAATTGTATTGAAAGTGCATTCATCTGGAAAGAATCCATTGTCCTCCATATTCTTCAATAATTCATCGGCTTTTGCTAGCAACTCTTCTTTACAAAACCCTTTTATCATTATGTTGTAAGCACGCACATTATGCAGCCGTTTAGTTGCGAGAAAGGAAAAGATGTCCACCGCTTCTCTAAGGCGATTAGCTTCACACAAACTATTTATTAGGATATTGTATGTAACAATATTAGGGACGACTCCAGTACTCTCCATTTCCTTCATTGTTGCAATTTCCTCGTCAATTTGTGCATTCTTACACATGCCATCAAGCAATGAATTCCAAGTCACTACATCTGGCTTTAGTCCATGAGCTTCCATTTCGTATAAAAACTGGTGTGCACGCTTGAGCTGACTATCTTTGCACAAGGCATCTATAAGAATGTTGTACGTGATAACATCAGAGGTTAATCTGTTAAAATGCATCTCTTGGAGCAGACAAAGAGCTCTGTCAATCTTTTTAGACTTGCAATAGCCATTGATTAAGCTGTTGTAAGTAACTACATCAGGTTTACAACCATTTTCAACCATCAAATCCATAAGGTTTTCCGCGTCATCCATCTCACCACGTAAACAACATCCATCTAACAAAGCATTGTAAGTGATGACATCGGGAACAAATCCTCTCTCGGTCATGTGAACAAAAATGTCCCGTGCTTGACCAACCTTGCCATCTTTACAATACATATCAATCAACATGTTGTAGGTCTCAGTAATAGGAGTTATGTTGTTCCTCAACATCTCAGTCAACATTTCTTGAGCCTCTTTCTGTTGCCCCAAAGTGCACATACCTCGAATTAAGGTATTATAGGTGACAACATTAGGGGAAATTCCCTTGACTTTCATCTCCTTGAAAAGGCTTAAAGCCTGAGGTAATAACTGGTCTTTACATAGACTATCAATGATGGTGTTGTATATGACAACATCAGGCATACAATGGCCATAAGACTCCGTATTTCTGAGGAGTTTGAGAGCACCGGCATTATCACCGGACCTACAAAGACCTTTGAACATAGAACCATAAGTGACTAATGTGGGTTGGAGGCCAAGCTTGAGAATTTTATCCAACAAATCAACGGCTTTGTTGAATTGATTAGAGTGAATGAAGCCATTAATGAGAGTAGTAAAGGTGACAATATCAGGCTGATAACCAAGCTTAATAATGTTGGCGAGAACAGAAAACCCGAAATCAACAAAGTTCAAACGACAGTAGCAATTAGCAAGGATGGTAAGGGAGTAAATATTTGGACGAAGACCCAAGAAATGGAGCTGCCTAAAAAGAGAAATGACAGTGGAGAAAGGGGGGTGGGGTTTAATCTTGGACATGGCACTCAATAACTTACAGAAATCAATGATACAAGGAAGAGGGCGCATCGATATCATATGGTGGAAATGGGAAAGGGGGATTTCGACATTAGTAAACCCTAATTTGGATTGTTGTCTAACAAATTTCAGAAACAATTTGGGGTCATCATAATCAGAATCAAAGTCCTCAGTAGCGTAATTGGTGTAATATCGAAAAGAAAGGTGAAAAGAGGGCGAATTGAGCAGGGGAAAAGTGAAATCGAAAAAGGGAAAAGGAATAGAGAAATGGAGAAGCTTACTTGAGGATCTGCCATGAAAATGAAGAGGACGAAGCTTGATTAAAGTGCTGCCATGAAAACAAGGACGAAGAAAAGCTTCTCCAACATTAACAGATATAGACCTGATCATGTTCATCTAATTCTAGAAACAGTAATGAAGAAGAAAAGCTTCCTTATGCTTAAGAAGGTCCAAGTGTGGAGTGGAGTGTTGGAATTATTCCCAATTTCATCACTCAGGCAGTCAGGCCCGATTTAGTTCACCTGATTTTAACTGGTTTGATCTGGTCTGATCTGATCTGATCTTATCTTATCTGAACTTATATTTTCTTATATGATCTTATCTGAATTTATTTTTTCTGATCTCATCTGAACTGAACTTATTTTTTCTGATCTGATATGAACTGAACTTATTTTTTCTGATCTAATCTGATCTGAACTTAATTTTTCTGATCTGAATTTATTTTAATTATTTCAATATTCTACTTTTATTTTAATCAATATTAATGTTTTTTTTATAAAAACATATTAATGATTTATTATTATTATTATTATTATTATTGTTGTTGTTGTTGTTGTTGTTGTTGTTGTTGTTGTTGTTGTTAGGAAAATTATTATTATTATTATAAAATATTTTAGATCCCTTACAAATATTTTATCAGATAGTACAAGGTAATATACTTGTAATATTTGATAATTTTATTATTTACAATATCCAACATCATAAATGAATTTGTTTATAAGAAAGTATTAAAATGGGATCCTAAAAAACCTAAATTGCAGATTAAATTTGTCATAGCTTTTTGTTATATAGAAAAAAGAGATTTGACTTGTTTTTGTTATAGGGAATTTTACAAATTTTTTGGTAATGTAAAATGGTTGACTAAATTGAATTGAAAATTATCATTTCATATTTCAATATTCCGAACAACTATGGGTAACACCTCTATTTTCCTATGTAAAACAACATCTTAGTGTCATAATTTTCACACTCTAAATCAATTTCCTAAAATATTCTTCTATTCATTTGTTCAATAGGTTGTTTGTCTTTTATCTCCATCATAGGTAAATACTTCAACACTCTATGTCATTAATTTTATCACTAGTCCATTGTTTTTTTGATAATGTAGGAAAATATACATTTATTTGATTTCATGAATTTTACATTTGACCTAATGCAAGTAATATCAATGAAAATGTAAATCACCATTAATATCTTATGTTCAGTTCATTTATTTCAAAAGAATCCTTTTGATTATAATCCTAGTGCCAATTCAACATTAATGTCTATAATTTATGCATGAAATATTGATTCCAAAGTGCTCTTTATCATAGTGTAATGGCTGGTAGGGTAGCATAGTCTGAAGAATGTACGGAGATATTGTTCGTTGGACATATGCTTGGAGATGAAAGAATTTGGATATTTAAAGCTTAATTGGGATAGAATAGTGAGTACTTTGATCGTAAAATGTGGAAAGCAATTCAATATCAAACAAGTAACAAATCATTGGAATGATTTTTGGACAATTCAAATCTCAATGGAAAATACTCACAATGATGCCAAATATGGACACTAAACATCAATTGGCGATTATGGTTGCTGCATTCAAACTTCACACTTTTATTCGATTACATGAGTTGGATATACCCATTGATAGTGGTATAGAAATCGAACCAAGAGTAAATTATGATTTGTTTAACGAGAATCGTAAGGCTGTAATGAACGAAGTACAACTTAATATAGCGAAGGAAATTTGGAACTTCTTATGATGGAAATTATATTTGTAAACGTTTATGATTTGGAGCTTATAATGAAAATTTAATTATTATCGTTTATTGTTTGAACAATAATAATAATAATAATAATAATAATAATAATAATAATAATAATAATAATAATAATAATAATAATAATAATAATTCGTTCTTCCTTGGAGCGTATCGTTACTGATTCGGGGCTTGGGTTTGGCGATTGGCAGTGGAGACTTGCCACCTTACCATTTGCGTTTGGCAGACTTGGTATTTATTCTGCTGGTGATGTTCGTCATTATGATTTTCTTGCCTCTCAGTTACAGTCTGCTGGGTTGCAGACAAAGTTACTACGGCACGCTGGCGTTGTTGGCCTTGGTCAAGCCTTTGCGGATGCGTTGAGTCTGTTTGATAGAACGGTTGAGTCTGATATTATGAGTAATCCTACTGAGGTCGCTGCCCCTACACTTATGAAGAAATTGGCAGATATATATTTCACAAAGGTTACCGCTTCTGCAGAATCTACCTTCTCTTTATCTCCTCGACAATCAGCATTGTGGAAATCGCATCAGGGAGATCATACCTCCGTTTGGCTTTGGGCTCCTATTTCAGGGTTGGGTCAGACGATGAACGCAAAGACTTACCGATGTGTGTTATGCTACCGATTGGGTGTTCCATTGTTCTCTGTCTCGACGTCGTGCTCTGCTTGTTCAAGAGTTTTCACAGGGGATATTTTCGGTGATCACTCGATGTCGTGTGCTGGTATGGTGGGTATTAAACATCGGCACAATGTTGTTCGGGATACCCTTGTTGATATTTGCTATCGGTCAGGGATTTTTGCTAGGAAGGAGGTGGACATTGGGTTATCTGGAGGGAACGACGAGGCTCTCAAACCTGCAGATGTGTTACTTTATTCATAGGATCGTGGTCGCGATGTCTGTGTTGACTTGACAGGGTCTTCTCCATTGACACAGTTTGGGCTTTCTGACTTTGTTCCTGGACGGGTAGTGACTGATGCGGCTAATCGCAAGCGGGTGAAGTACGAATCTAGTTGTCGAGCAATAGGATATGGCTTCCTTCCTTTCTCTTTCTCTTCTCTTGGGGAGTTAGAAAAGGAGGCTGTTGCATTGCTGAAGCGGATCCAGAAGTTTTCGAAAACTCAGGACATTGGGGCTCGTGATGCAGATCATATCTTTACTAGGATCGGCTTTTCAATAGCTAGAGGAGTGGGAGCCCAGATTGTATCTCGGCTTCCCACTAATTTTCTATAGGTTATATAACTTTGAATGTTTTTGATAATAATAATTTTGTATTTAATTTGAACTTATCTGATCTAACCTGAACTTATTTATTCTGATATGCTCTGATCTGAACTTATTTTTCCTAATCCGAACTTATTTTTTCTGATCTGAACTTATTTTTTTTGAAATAAGTACAAATAAGGTGAACTAAACAAGGCTTCATTCTAATCTCAACGTATCGAACACTCTCCGTTTCTCAATGCGCAGAGTTTTAGGAGATTTTGGAAAAAAGTATTAATATAGGGAGGTAGTGGGGTTGATAGAAAAATAAAAAATTGTAAAAAGCAAAAGTAGTGGAGAATTGGATGAGAGAATATGAAATAAAATAAAATATGATTTATGTTAGGTCCACTAGTTGAGAAATGATTTATTTATAATAAAAGCTTTTAAATAAGGATTTGAAGCAAGTATTTAAAAACGGCTGCAAAAGGAAAGTGGAGCAAGTATTTAAAAACGGAGGGAGTAAATGATATGTACATTTGTACGATAATTAGGGTTTTTGGTGCATTTTTTTTTTTACAAACCTCAAATGTACACTGCATTTAAAAAATTTCAGGGATACACGGTGCATTTTTCAAGACATCGGGGATACACGGAACAATTGCCAGTTATAAAGTTCTCATTTCTCGACTAATTACGTTTCCGCTAGCACTCTTACCCTAACATACTTTGAGGTTGGAGTTTGATTCTTAATAGTAGTTAATACCTATTACAAACCTTATTCCAAAATAAAGCAAATCAAACACCCCTTATCCCTCATACCAAATGCCTCATAAAGTTTACATTTATTTATATCTTTTTTGGTGCAGAGCAAGCCGAAACACTGGTAAGTAGGGGTGAAAGTTCGGTTTTCGGTTTGGTTTTTTGCCCAAACCGAAACCAAACCACCAAATTTCGGTTTCTTGATTTTGCAAACCACACCGCACCACTTTAGCTTTGAAACCGAACCAAACCAAACCACCTAAATTTCGGTTTTCCTAAAAAAAACCAAACCGCACCGAATTTTCCTCTCAAGCATCCTAAACATCACATTTTGCAAAAAAACCGAACCAAACCACACCAATTAAAATTGAACCAAACCAAACCATACAAACATCCCACCTAAAACCCACCTACCACCCACCCTAACCTACCAAAAAACACCGAAACTACCACCACTAACCACCCACAACAATGCCCACTAACCACCACTAACCACCCATAGAAACTATCACCACTACCACCCACAACAACCACCAAAAACCACCTTATCACCACCCCTAACCCAGATCCGCACCCACCACAACCCACAACCCACCTTATTTCACCACCCTTCATCCTTTCCACCCAAACACTAACCCTAGATCGACCCACAACTACCTATCACCACCGCAATTCAATCTACACGGCTACGCCACCATAAAAATAAAGTAGGAAAAAAAATTCAAATCAAATTAAAATTAAGAAAAAGAGGACATACCTCACATTCCACCGAAAAACCTCGAATTTGGGTTTTAAAGGTCAAGTTCGACCATGAAAACACTAGATCTAGTGTTTTCATGGATGAATTTGACATGAAAAACCTTAGCTACTCAGTTGATGGCTTAATAACGTTGTAAATAAACTTATTCGCTGTGGGCTGGTGGGGAAAAGAGGAGAACAGAGTGATGGAGAAGAGATCAAAGAGGAGAAAGAAAGGACGGAGTTGAGAAGAGGAAAGGAGGGAGAGGAAGAACTAAGATTCTGAGAAGAGAAGAGAGGAGAGAAAGGGCGGAGAGGTGAGATCAGGAGAAGAAGAGGAAAGGAGAGGTGAGAGACTGAGAGTCAGATGAGGAAGTGAGGGATTAGGGTTTTTTTTTTTCCTTTATATACTTAGGGTAAAAGTGTTGGGCTAGGGGGCTTTTGGGCCTGAAATTTCGGTTCTGTTCGGTTTTGTTCGGTTTTTCGGTTTTTCAATTTCTAAAACCGAAACCAAACCGAAAACCGAAATATTTTTTTTTTCAAAACCAAACCGAACCACTTTCGAAAAAAAACCGAACCATATTTCTTATTCGGTTCGGTTTTCGGTTTGGTTCGGTTTTAACCCAAATTTGTTTCACCCCTACTGGTAAGGACAAAATTCAATCCCAAGTCTTGTTGCTACCATTCAAGCTTCAAACCAACTAAGTTAATTGACATTTACCAATTATTATCAATACCCAACTAGTAGATGTAAATG